GAGAAGTAAGCCGGCACTCACCGGGGCAGACGGCCGTATTGTTGCAGGGCCGGTTCTCGCGCAGGGCTCCCGTGCACTGAGTGGTGAAGGAGGAAGTGGCACAGATGCGGGTGCGGCTCTGCCAGCCCTCTCCACAGGTGATTGAACATGTGCTCCAGGGGGACCACTCATCTGTCTTAGAATCTGCTGTTGGAAAAATGACAAAACATTAATTACAGGATAAGCCGACAAGGACTGCAACAGTTGCAAAGCAGATATTGTGTAAAAAAGAACATTAACAAGAACTTCCTCTCACCTGTTTGTGTTGCAACAACTCCATAGTTAGAATTATCAGCATTGTCTCTTTTCAAACCAACAATGGCTCGCAGACCCTGGCTCCTGTTTCGCTCTTTGCCTGAAACAATTACAAAATTATATGGTTATTACATTGAATCAGAGCCACCTGCAGCCAAGTGCTCCCGACATAATGACAGGTGGGCTTACCAATGCAGGGCTGAGGGTTGCAGGCCCGTCCCTCTTCAACGGTTCCCTCGCACACATCGTCTTCGGGCTGACAGGCTCGGCTGCGCACCTGAACTCCACCGTCGCATTCTTGGCTGCACACTGACCAGCGTCCCCAACCCGCCCAGCCCTCTGTGGGAAGAGATAAGAAGAGGACATTGAGCAAGGTTGGAAACTGATATTGTTGTAAGGAATAAACGTATAAGTGTTTTTGGGTGCAAATATAAGAACAGGGAGTGAGTATTGTTTTTCTATGTGTAAAGAACGAGGAGGGATGATTATTTCTGTGCAGAACTGGGTCCTCGGCCGGATGGAAGATGCATTTGAAATGGTGATTATTTGCTATTAACCACTTGGTGGGAGCCGGGGCAGAGTGCTTTGTAAGGCCGACAGGTGCGTTGCTATAACGACCACCAGCTGACTGTGAGGTCTTTGTGCCCTTTTCAACTCCCCCTAAATAACACACAAACATACCCTCTATCCCACAGCCCAAACTACTTGCCAGGCGTTAAGTGCAGCATGCATGTCTGGCCTGAAGACGCACTAATACTCTCTAACACCTTTGATTTCTTCTCATTACTCTGTGGCGCAGGAGTGCACATCCTTTGTCTGTTAGGGTTACCTGCTCTACAGACATGGATCATTACCCAACACTCAAACACTGAGAGAAAACAGGGCTGCAGACCGCCTGTTGAGCTGCCGTCTCCTTGAGAGCACGATCCAGCCTAATGAATGTCATTACAAAGTAACACAGCAAATGGTCGGGAGGAAAACTGTCTGTTCTGTTTTCAAGGGCGAGATTTTTGGAGAATTTAGTTTTTCTTTTTGCTGTCACCAGTTCACCCTCGTGGTAAAAAAACAAACATTTTACAAACTTACTGATGATGATCTCAGCATCGCGTCCATTGTCACGGGGAACAGGAAGGCATTTCTCAACGTAGACACCGCCTTTGTAGCAGCTCCCGGGCTTCCTCTTTGGGACTTCCCAGCACTGGCAGGGAGTATTCATGATGCCACAGGGATAATCATGGGTGCTACTGGACAGGCACTTCTCCAGCCACTGGCACAGCATCTGGCAGGCAGGCATGCTTGGGTTCCTCTTCCCCACGACCAGAAACTCAGCCTTGAACTCATTGACATCATTCTGGCCCTCCAGCATCTCCACGCCGTTTCTTGCGGCCACCTTGCGGATCTGCAGGAACTGCTTCGTGGACTCCAGGTATGTGACAGTGGTTGATGCGTCGCACAGCTTGACGACCTCATCGAAGCTCTCCATGCCCAGATAGGTGCGAGAGGTCTCGATGAAGGAGTCGAACTGGAAGGTCTTGATCTGGCGGGGCACGCAGGAGTCGGTCGGCTTAGTGATTTTCATGTAGACGGTGTAGCGGCGAGGATCAGGGTTCTGCAGGGTCCAGGAGCATGGCGTGGAGTGCAGGGTGGATGTCGAAGAGAATACACCAAAGAAGCGACTCTGTTCCAGGGTGGCGCAGGTGGCAGAGGCTGGGCCGGAGGGCGTGCAGGAGGTCAAACCGAAGAAGAGTAGAACAAGGGCCACACAGGGGCCGGTAAGAGCTGACCACGCCATCGGGTGGGCTTTGATGGGGGGCACTTTCTTTGATTGCTGGATTGACCAGGTCTTTTTTGATGTATCTCTGAAATCCCTCTGAAGAACTGTTGAATTTTGCAGTCTTTAGGGAATCAATATCACCAATGAAGCTGCACAGAAACAGGGAATGAAAAAAAGAAAACAAATCTGTCAGAGTACTCCAACATCTCAATAATCTGAACAAAACACTACAAATTAGTATGCAGGATAAAAGCCCTGAAAATGAAATGCATTTACCCCCACACACACAACATTCATGAGATGCATTTTAATTGTTGAACTGATATTAATGCATCAGGGTTTTGCTGCTGATCAGTATCATAGGGCTTCGGGGCAGATTCAGTGATCTAAAATGCCCAGTCCTTCGGGACATAATTGCTCTGGCACTGCAATTACAGTCCTTCACAGTAGACTGGTATTTCCAAGCTCTCGCTCTTTCCTCCCACACACCAAACTGCATGGCGAATCATGTGCGTCAGTCTGACGTCCACAGAAGCATTGCCACGGGCAACCAGAAGACGCCTATTAGTTCCTCTGTTTGTGCTATGCACTCCTCCAATTGAGCCGTAAACAAGAAGGATGCTTATTTTGTATCCCTTGCGCAGTGTGACTGCATACACTTATGCATTGGATACCAGAGTGCAAAGTTGAATGTAATATGGATCAAGAGTGAACTCTTGCATATTAACTCAAATGCATGCAGGGTACCAAAGATGCATCACTATAACCTAGTACAATTTTTTATGCACAAAATTCCTGCTGAAAACTTGCTTTATGTGGACTGTAATTAACCTCATATAAACTTTGAATGACTAACTGTGCATGTATAGAGAGAGAGAGGGTGCAGAGTCAGACTCAATGTCAAAGCATCTCTACCTGACTGGACAGACTTAAAATGTTGGATGCTCCGTGGAGCACTGAAGAAAGGAGGAAACACTGTTGCTCAGCAACATCTTTTTACAGACATTCGGGATTCTTATTCTTCCTACTAATGTTCTCTGTCTTATTAATAACTTGGGTCCTTCATACGGAAGGAAGATCTTGTTAAATGCTCAGGAATAATTGCCTGCTTGTCGTGTATGCGACCGAGGGGTTGATCAAAGTGACGGGGTATTGCACACCGCGGAACAATTGATGCCTACAGCGAGCTTCGCCGCGAGAAGCACCTGCACTTTTCAGGCACAACACTCATAATCACATTCCTCCCATCTCTCCCTCCCTCTCATCCTCGCCTCTTTGTGAACAACACAGCGAAGACCTCTGCCTTGTGTATGTGGGTGTATCTCTCAACCGGAAGCTCCATGAATGGGCATCTGACGAAGCACACAGTGAAAAGAAAGAAGTCCAGCTGTCGTAGGATAACTCTGTTTCTCTCCACCCCTCTCTCCGTTCGTTGCTTATCCATTTGCTGTCGTCAACAGTAATACTGCAAAGCACGCAGCCCAACAAAAGCGGTCCATCTGTTTTATGGACACAGGGTTTATTTTTTTGCAGATTCAGTGTGAAAAACAGTACAGAACTGCAGAATTGCCATCAGCGGCATGCTCTCCATTTAAGCTGCCGTAAAGACTTTTGCAGAATACAGATACAGAATTCATCTTAGGTGTATAACTAACTTAATGTTGCAAATTAAAACAGAGCAGGCATTTGATACGGTGTGTCAATGTTGTACTGGCTGCAAATGGTTAGTAAGTTATTTGCATGACTGCACCAGAAAGCTGCAAGCTGATAGCTATTTGTCTAATGCAGACACCTGGAGGACTTTGGTTCACTCTCAGTCATTCTTCTGCAAGAATGATCTCTTTTGCTGAAACGAACTTTGTAAAAGCAAAGTGTACAACCTTTACAGGTTTGCCCTGTGCAAATACTTGTGCACATGTGTGCTCATGGTTTAAAGAACGTGTGTGTGTTGCTCAGATTCAGATTTACTTACAAAATGCATTTAATGCCTGGTAATATGTGATGGGAGAAAATCTGAAAGTTGTACGGCAACCTGTTGCTGCATTCTAACTTTCTGCAGCTGAACAATGAAATTGTTACTGATCGGCTTCACAGGGAACAACAGAATATTGAGAACAATCCTACGATATAGCGCCAGAACTATCGATCAACAAAACGAAACAGACGTTACGGGGACCAGACAGCTTCAGATGTGTGCGAAAAGCAACGCATGCTGCTCACTGCCGGGGGAGAGAATTTCAGCACCACGGACAGCGATCAAGAAGTTCGCGCAGACAAACATGCATGCACCTCATCACTCATACTCACTTTGTAGCTTTCCATGTTGAACACAGAACCCCGTATTCACGGGAAGCACACATTGACAGGACGAAGCAAAGACAATAAAGTAAAGCCGAGTAAAGCTGGTCGTCTTTCCTTACCTTATAAAACGATCTGCTCGACTCGAAGTCTTCAGATCCGGTCCAAAACTTTTGCAGTGGTCGATGCCGCAGAAATGACGCGACAGGTCCAAGCTCGACCCCGGACGGGTCGATCCCAAGTTTCAGTGCAGTCCACTCACTCAAGCGAAGAAATAATATTGACTCTAACCAAACTCCAAAGAGTTTACTACCAACTTTGTTTAGCTGCTATGTCCAGATAAACTGGTGTATAGCGGGTTTACAAATTGGCTGTACCGGAGCTCCAGCAGACAGTCCGTCGAACCAAACGCCGTGGTCTCGATTGTCTTCTCTCTCTAGGCTCCAGGATAAATGTTGGTACTTCTACTCCCGGCTTCGGAGTCTTCTTTGCTTGAGGTCTTTGCACTGCAAGTGGGTCCTGTCTCGGTGTAGCTTGTGGCCTCCTCTCCGCGGTTTATATATCCAACCCCGCCCCCCCCGAGCCGACTCCGACTCCGTGCGTGGATGGCGTACCGAGGTGAATGAGACAGCGCCAAGGCGGGAGGGAGCGTGCGGGGGAGAGGTGTTTGCGTGCGCGTGTGTAAGTGTGAGAGTGACCGTGTCGGCGCAGGGAGGGGAGGGGCCTTGAACGGGGAGAGAAAAGGGAGGGATCCGTGCACGGAGACAGAGACAGACGATCATGGACAGCAAACTACGCAGATGTTAACGTAGGACCAAAGGTACCGGAACTAGGATTACCTGTTCAAGTCACATGCGCGTTATCCCTGACAACATAATGATGTATTAAACAGGAAATATTAGCAGTTAATTTGTTAATTATATACATCGTTAATTATATATATATGTTTATATTTATATATATATATATATGAATATTTGTATATATATATACAAATATTCAATATTTTTTTTTTTTTAAATATTATTTTGTAAAACACACACATACATTTTGAGACATTGTTGTATTCAGGCTCATTGCCAGCTGATTATGGGACTGAGGGATGATCTCTTCATGTGTTACTTAAAAGGCAGTTATTGAATAGTCCCGTTGGGGTGTGTCCTTGACTCGGCTGTGCACGGGGCCGGCCGGTTCCGGCGACCGTCATCGTGACCGCATCTCCTCGTCCAATTAAAAGCAGAGACGGAACGCACACGGTAGCACACGGGATTTAAGGCAACACCCTCCATTCCATCCCTCCTCGGTGGAGTGGGCGGATCTGGGTACACATCTCTAAAGTGTGGAAGGGATAACCCAACGTGGGCGTCTGCACGTTGTTGTAATGTTGGCTTGTTTCCTCCTCTACCCAAGCTATGAGAGAGAGAGAGAGACATCTAGAAGGAACACTAATAACTGTCCAAGCAACATGAGTCAGGATAACAGTGGAACCGGTTATGAGTGATTATCAGTCATTGTCTTTCCTCGTCATTAATGTCCCAGCTATGTCTCCTCAAGAAGACTGAGCCTGCGGGAGTGAGGAGCTGTGCTGTGGCGGCATGGGGATTTTGAGATTGGGTAAATGACAGTAGACAACATCAACATGAAAAAGTAATTTCCTCCGACATGAGTTAGTTTGTCTGGTGCATTTACAATGTGGCTACTTTTAGATTGTAACCGGCAGGGACTTTCTTCAACTAATAGCTTTGTGGTCATGGTGACATAAAGGGGTGGAAATTACGCTCTATTTTCAGCAATCATTTGGCCCTCCACACAGGGTCAGGTTGCTATTACAGAGATATAATGGTTTCCTAATTGAACTCAACATAAACATGTATTTTTACATTTTTTTTTATTTTAACAGTCTTTAATGCTATTTTTGTGGAAACAGCCCATTGAGGGCTCTTAAGATTACAGAGGTTAAGCCAGGTCGGTTTCAACCTAAGCTTTTATAAAAAGACCATCACAAAACAGTTTATCGTTACCTATTTCGACAATGACATTGTTCGCTAAATAATGACTTTATCCCATTTGTACACTTAAGATCACTTTCATTAACACTTTGTAGCAATATAGACCACCTGCAAATCCCTGAAACATATTCTTTATTATAATCCCTTTCACGTCTTTTGAACCCTGCATTGCTTGCACAATATTAGTCATTAATGTACATTTTACCACCTCTGTTAGCGAGCTGGGGGTTTCTTCCAACTCGCTAAGTGGCAAATATCTATCAACAAAACCATGTGTACCATCTTAGAAAGAGACCAGCCTGTAAACTGGTTCATTTCTGTATCTCTGTAGCATGTTTATTCATGTTAATTAAACTCACAAACTAGCAGCCATCATCTGTGGCCCGGGAAGAAATCCTCTGATTAAATGTTAGCTCACATTTCTTATTTCTTCTGCTCCACAGGCTGAGAGCTCATCGATGGACAAATGGTTGCTGAAGAACCCTCAATCTTTCTGCATATGTAATGGGGACAGGAGTCACAGGTAGGGTTAGGTGGTCATTTAACCTCCAACTGCTGATTCACAGCTGTTCGGTAGCCAAAGCCATAAGTGTGAGCATGTGATCCATGCAGCTAATTTAGGTGTAATTAGCAAATACACTAAAAATTGCCAATAAACATTATTTTGAACTCCAATAAAACCTTCACCTTTTTGCGCCTGCATATTTGAACATCGAACGCCCTCTGGTTTGTAATAGATCCCTGAAGAGGGAGGCGTCAGCGCTGCAGGCACAGTTACATAAACAAATGCCCACATAAGTGAGAGTGAGGAAAAAAAAAGTTTTGAGGAATCACCACTGACCTCGCCTCCATCCTCCTTCCCACAGAAACCAGGACAGCCCTCTCACGAAATGAGTACTTTTCAGGCAGTCAAGGACCCAGAAAAAGGCAAATCGCTACTAGTGAATCACAGGATGTAGTTTCCTAACTAAAGTGGGAGAGACTTTCTGGGGTTGTTTGATTTTTGTGTAAAAAACGAAACATGCTCATGCAATCATAACGGAAATCTTAAAAATAGGTTGTTTCTTCATCATTTTGTCCTTTTGACCCATGTTGCTCCTACTTGACTCCTTCAGAACATGCTGTGCTTGACTTGATACCAAAATGGGTGACAACATTTCCCACTCTTGCTTTGCCTTCATGGACCACGTTCCTCGCAGCTATGAGGCTGTGTGGACTCTAGATGGTGCTGTGTTTAGATACTTCTGCTTCCCGAATTGATGAGGATGACGTAGGCTGTGTTCTGCTCGCGTTCAAACCAGACAAGGCAGAGAGTTTCATAGTCAGAGAGACACCCGCATAGAGAATATGGAAAGGAATGCTTGTAAACGGTTAATAAACACGTATAATCCAACAGTTACAGTAAGATTCAAAAACACCCAGTTGGCTGCTTCCTTATGTGTTTATATACCGTTAAGAATGGCACAGAATATTGAAGTACTGCAGGTCCAAATCCTTTTTACATGCAGAATCGATGTTACTTGCATGGCGAGTACAGTGGGATAGTAAATTGCGGACCTTCTTGAAGGGATTATTACCAAAGCACAATGCACAATGATGGCTGCTAGAGAGAGAGAGAGAGAGAGAGAGAGAGAGAGAGAGTACTGCTGCACTTTAAAGGAACACAAAGACACCTGAAGAAGCTTAAGCCCCAATTCTGCACTCATCTTTTGTTCGTTTAGAGTTGATTGAGTGGTAGGACATCGACCGTAGAAAGTGTGTATTCTACAGGTGCTTGAATAACTGAGTCAGTGGGTTGTGAGGCTATGATGTAATTTACAATAACGAGATTGATTAAAATCAATCCAACGGTTTCTGCACCCCTGCTTCAGCTTTACCAAGGTGGGGAATCTGCAAGAGGGAGAAAAGGTGAAAATTCACAGATTCAGATCTTTATCTTATTTTACATTTTGCAGTTTTTATTTTAATGTTGATGGTTTTGATTCTCAATCACTTTTTAACCACGAAGAGCAAAAATAGAGCAAACACAGTAGAGGGGAGATAGGGGGACAAGTTTGTACTTTTCCAAAAAACAATTACTGTGAACTGTGCCAGCAAATCCTTATTCATCAATAGGAGAGTGCTCCACTGAAGAGGTCTCAGTACAACAAAGAAGAACTGCAGCAGCTTATCAATCTCCTCCCTCAGGCATCTAAGTCACCGCCATAACGTACCTGGGGTAGAAAGTGCTATGAACAATTTAACAGTAAGTATTGTAATAAAGATATGGTACAAAAAGAACTAGTGCATAATAAATATGAAACAAGTATTACCTGAAATCCTTCTCATCCTAAAGATGACACACTTTGTTTGACACACAACCGCATACCAACCAATTGCCTAACAATTGCTATTTGATTATATGTAATGACATTATAGACATAAATTACATTAAACCCATTAATCACATTCTCCTATTTATGTCTTAAATACACATTTGTGCACCTCTTAAAGAAAAGGTCTTCATCCATCATCATCCAACTGGAAAATAGCTACCAAATGTTGACCAAATGTTGTATGTGTCACACAGCAATTTCGTAAGTCATTTTGTTTGCAAGAGGTTGTTTTCTCTAAACCATCGTTTACTGTTGTTTTATTGTCAAAACATAACAAGGTAATTTCTGTGGTCACAGCGTGGCGTCTAGGGACACGATAATCCATCCAATCCATAAAACATTGAGCACGTGGCTTTTAGATGACACGCTAAAATCCTAAAATGCACCTCAATGACACACGGGAACAGTGTGCTTTTCATACAGCTTTTCATAGGATTGGGTTGCGCTCCAGGACATCTAGTTTGTGAGCTGACAAGTTTTTCTAAACTATTCTGTGTGTACGTCTTGTTTATATGTGTGGTTTTATGTTGATGGCTGGACGAGGATTTAAAGCAAAGTGTGAAACAAAAGACAAAACTAGAGCTTTTGGGTGTGTGTGTGCAGGAGTGAGAGGACCTGTAATCCTCCAACTGCTTTGCTTTGCAGGGATTTAAAATTCTGTTAAATTGATTTTAGTGAGTTTGATATGAAATGTACTTTTTTGAATTAATTTAAAATCTTGTTAACTTTTGCTGGTGAAGGCCAATAAAAAAAGACAACTAGATCTTTCCCAATAGACGTGCAGAAAATGAACCACTGATTCACTTCAACTAATTCCATAGGGCTTTTCAGCTGGTAAGAAATTGTCATTTAATACGGCCTCTGCTGAACATTTGTAGCAGGGCAACTTCTTTGACGATCAATATGGATGTAATGAAGAAGAGAAAAAGAGCTCCAAATTGCGGCCTTTCGAGTTGAGGCAGAATATTGATTTTGTTTAATGCAACACCCAGTAGAGCTCACCCGAACCCCCTGACTTTGTCTTAAGAGCAGGAATGAGTTTACCTAGACTGTCAATGCTTCATGTTGGGTGCTGTTGGTTCATATCAGGAAGACAAGGGTTGTGATTGTAACACAAAGTCCATTTTAATCCAGTGGAGGCTTCCCCACTTTCAACAACAACAACAAGCCAAAAGCAAATAGCGAACTGTTCTTAGTCATGTCTATGAAAGGGACAAGATGCACTAGGAATTAATGGGGCAGGTATTACTTTAATGAAAAGAGAAAGAAAGAGAGAGATAGGGGCATGTAATCATGTAGCAGAATGACTCACAGGAGTTGCAATACAGCGAGTGGCAAAGGAAGGCCTCTTCACTGGTTCGCAGGAAAGAAAGAAACGGATTGCACCGACTGCAGGAAAGACATACATGGTGTTACCTCTGGATGAGCACACCAGTGAGTCCCTGGAAACTGCAGAAAGCAATGACAAGCTGAGCCAGGCTGGCCTTAATGCAGAGACTAGTTCTAGAGTGATACAAGTATTGCGAAGCAAAGAGACACTGATGTAACTGTCGCTCACACTACTAGCAGATCCTTATTTCACTTTGAATACCCCCCGGAACAGACAGCCATGGTTCCAAGAGAATACATCTTAAAGCAACAGTTTGACATTTTTGAAATTGGAAATAATACGTTTATTTATCTTGTCACTCAGTTGAGTCTTGATTGCAAAGTTGGCCAAAGACTTTTTTCTGCATTCTGCATGAGCGCCTGAAACATTAACGTCAAACAATGGACCAAACAGGCGGCGGTTTTGTGTGTCGGGTTATAACAGGAAAAAGGCTCGTATTGTAGACTGCGTTTGCTAATGTCCTCCCAGTCCCTTCTGTTGTCCTCTGACCTTGTTATTTCCTCAGTGAAAATGTGCGGATGTGATAATGCGAACACCATTACCTGGATTGCAGGTTAGCCCTGCACAGCTTTTGCAGAGCTTTTATTTCTTTATTCTCTCGCTGTACCCCTCTGCGTTCTCTTTCTCTGCTGTCTTGCACACATGCATTGCCGGTGAGTGTGGGAGTCTGATGTGTGACTCATCTGTAGCACCCTGTATCGTTGCCCAAATATGGGCTGGCCGGAAATTTTTCTGTGCTTGTGTAGAGGAGAGAAGCAGGCAGTGCACAAAGAATATGTTCAAGTGCTTTCTCCTTTCTCTTTCCCTCTGAGCAATTTCGCACAAAACCTGTATTTTGAGCAACAAGGTGTCTTCAACACGAGGACAAACACCGGTGCACCTTTAAATGGGCATTTCAAGGTTATCTTTATCAGGGTAATATTAACACATTTTAGATTGGGCATCATCTGTGCATACATAATATCTCACATAAACACTCATTAACCTGATCATGCATAAATACATGTGCCGTTTCTAAATACATTGCTAGCATGAAGCTTAAATCTGATCATCACTCACAGTGGTGTGCATATAGAAAAAACAAAAATAACAGGTTGTTCATGTTGGTAATGTTCCTTTTTTAAAAAATCGGATGGATCAATCTGTGCAAAGCACATATTTTATTTGATGGTATATATTAAAAATATTTTTGGACATGTATTCAAAGCCTTTGTAGCAACACATCCCACTTTCACATCATGACTCACAATGGGACAAAACCATTCTGAGCACTAAGGTCGTACCCGTCCATCTGCTGTATATTATATATTTGTCCACAGTTAAAGAAAGCTACACGATCATGCACACAAAGTTTTTTTTTTTGTTTCTTCGTTTCAAAAAATGACGCTCTCATAAACTTAAATTGCATTTTACTTTAGTGTTTGATGTATAAGCATTTTTCTCAACAAAAACATACGGCTGCAGGGTCACACAAACTTATGTATTAAATGTATTTTGACCCAGTCATGATCTTTCTCATTCATGGTTGGGATCAAATACACAGGAATGTTTGAGTGTTGTCCCATAGGATGATGATGGATGTTTGTCAATTGGGACACCTTAAGACCTTAAGAGGAGTAAAAAGACTCCAAGTTGGTTGAATAGACAAAAGTTGGCCCAATTGTTACGGTGTGGAATTGTGTATTTAATCGTTTAGCACTACGTCCCTTTTGTTTGCGCTGATGTTGAATGAGGTCTGTGTTGAGACTTATTCCACTG